CCCCAAAACCCCAAAACCCCAAAACCCCATAGTATTAAAATACCTGAATTTAATTATATATCATGAAATTAATAATTAATAAGTTTCATATCACATCACTTCCCCATTCTGATTTTTTAATCAATTTTCAATCCTTCTTGAAGTACGTATCAATTTTCCTGTTTAGTTTCACTATCTTTTTATTGTACTCTTGAGGCTTAATATACCATTTCCCATAGTTAGCAGCCTTTAAACGTCTCAGAGTATCCTCTGACGTGACAATATCCTCAATATCCCTGTCCTTATTAATTTTTATTGGAGTCAAGAACTTGAGCTTGTCCTTGATAAACTCTCTATTCTTAGATGTATTTACTGCATCGAATATTTCTGGGTTATTCTTGCGAAATTCATTATGATTTCCCAAAAAATTCATAAATTAGCTTTTGAAGTCTGGAGGTATGCCTTTCTTTGCTTCTGGAGATGCATTTGTATTTTCACCTGGACCATAAATTCTATCTATCTACTGCTCTAGTTTTCTTTGATGCTTTTGAGCGAACTTCTTAAAATAGTCATTGTTTTACATCTGCTAAGCCAACTGGAAATTCTCATCATTGTTGCTTTAAGCTTGTTAGTTTTTAAGTGAGGCCTCTCGATATGCGCCTCCGATATCGACCTTACTAAGTTGAAGTTGTTATTTATCTAGAGGGCCTCCAGTAAGTTTTGGGACTTGATGAACTTTGAGACCCACCTATAGGTCACTCACAAGTGTCGGATCTAGTTTAGTGCTGAATTAATTATTCTTCTTAGGATTATTTTCTTATTCTAATGAATCTTATTACTTTAGTGAGTCATAGATTTTATTATTGACATCATATTTTGGCTTGTTCATCAAGATAGTCTAATCTACCAAATCCAACAGCTCGTCCTTCATCTAGTTTTCCCAATCATTGTCTTCTGCTATTACTTTGTTCCCCCCTTGATAAATATCCTAATACATTACTTAAGATTTTACAAATTATGAACTATTGTTCTGATCCCTATTGATTTCTTTACTTATTTCGATGTTCTTTTAGATATCTCTCTAGGCCTTTTGCTTCATTTTCTGCTGCTGGTTAACGTACTTAAAAGATTCTTAAAAGCTCTTTTCTACGAGCAAATTGTCTCTAGTTTAATCGACTACTAGATCTTGTCTATCACTATTGGTAATCTTTGAAGGTTTTGTCAACAGTTTACTCACTGATTTAGCTTTAATGGTAATTTTCTAGCTTTGATTATTTCGCGAAGACATAAAAGGCTTTTGCATCCCCGAGCTGAATAACTAAGGGAGAGTAGGCTCATTAACGGGAGATCTCATAGAAGTTGGAGACTAGTTAAATATCTAAATTTCTAGATGCTTCGCAATATCAGCATTATCATTGAGGGTTTGATTTTTAGATTTAAGCTCTGGCAGCATCATAGATTTAAATCGGCTATTTTTATTCAAGGTATTTCCTTTAATACCATTTCTTCCTCTTCCTGCTTGCTATTATAGTTTATCTCCGGTCTTTTCAATCATTTTTTAAACATATAAAGTTGCATTGAGCTCGTCTGTGCCTTCGTTGTTTACTGAGCTAGATTACTTTGAAAATGCCTGGTTATATAAACTCTACTCCTACAAAACAGAATTTAAGTCATTTTCCAGCACAGTCTGAACATTTGTTTCCCTTTAACTCATCATCTCTTCGATAATTTACTTGCCTCTAGTTCTAAATTCTTTTTATTATTAAAACCCGTTAGAGTCTATCATTTTCCAAGTCATATCAAACTTGCTATTTCTTTTATCTCTTGTAGAATTTTTACAATTCCGATGGGATGTTCCATAGTGAAACACCTCATTGATGTTGAAATCTTCTTCGAGTTTCAATGGATAGCTTTCACGCGAAAGAGAATCTTTTCCTTTTATCCTGGATATCTTTTTTATATGATTTTAAAGCAGTCTGATCTAAGACTGTTCTGAAGAATCGCCATAATCATTATCATAAGTATGTCTGGCTAGTTAATTCAAAGACGTTAACAGATTAGTCTTATTTTCAAAGGAGCTCTCTCTATTTCTTGAAGTATGAAGTTTCTCATCAACACTTTTAAGATTCTTGCTGGGTATCTTCTAATCATAGTCAGTTATTTTTATCACTGGTCTTAGTAATTTACTCTAATTTGTAAGATCCATAGCCTAGAACTTTATTTAATCTCTTGATTAATTTTATAATATAAGGAATTAGAAATTAAAGTATTTTACAAGCTTATTGATATAGTTATAATATAATATTCAAGAGTATCCATTCCAAGCAATATCTACAAATTTATAGTTTCTATTACTCATTGGGGTTTTGGGGTTTTGGGG